GGTGTTCCGGCAGAGAAGGATCTGGCTGGCTGAGCATTCCCCAGCATTCCTGGCATGAGCAGGTCAGGGAGTGGAGTGCCTCAGAACCAAATTGGGCAGCCAGAAAAATAAAAGCTTTAATAACACCCTCAGTTAACTCAAAAATAAATAAGACCAACTGTACAAGAATGCGGGAAGGGTGGAGAGAAGTTTAAGAGGTGAGGATTGGAGCCAGGGAGGGTTGGGATGGCCTGGGGCAGTGGATTTGACCCTTGGAGATGCAAGTTTCTTCCCAGGAAAAGACCAAAATGCTCCAGATAGGGAAAGATGATGTATGGATCATAGATTGTATAATTACAGCCACATCCACTATGATGGTGATGAGAGGTTGTACTTATTGATTGCTTATGATATGCTAGGAATTTAGCTATGCTTTCCATGAATTATCTCATTTAATCCTTGCAATAATCCTGGACATTGGTACTAATATTAACCCCAATTTACAGGTAAAGAGTCACTGAGTAGTTAAGCATCTTACCTAAAGACACAGAGGTAATAAATGGATGGGCTATATAATAATAAATGTGTTGGGGGGGGGTAGGAAGAAGTGTAACATAATTCTTGGCAGCTTTGAGATGGATCCTTGGATTTCCAAAGAGCAAGTCTATTAGGACCTCAGACTTTTACTTTAAGTGGTAAGAACCTTAAGTCTATTTCCCATGATTTTTTCCCTGAAATGTGAGTAGGAAGTGCTCATTCTTCTCATGTCTCCATATGGAAGTTTTCTTAAGACACATCACTGCAGATGCTACAGAAGTACCAGTTCATGGCCCCTCCAATCCATCCATCAACACTTCAGCCTGGTCGCCTGTGGAAAGCCCCAGAGAGATTCTGGGGTTGGATTTGTTTGCCTGAAGCCACCACAGTCTTATTAGCCATAATAAAAGGGCAGTAATCATAACAAGAAAAAAAATCTGTTGTAAATTTAAGGGAAAATTATGGCCTCTTCGGAAAATCACCTGCTGTCTGGCTGCCCACACAGATACAGAGGAAAGACACGCTGTGTTGCAGATATTAAACCAATGAGAGGTAACCTATGGATATCATTTGGGGAGCCTGAATTCCATCACTGCAACAATTTAGGACATTTCTACTCCTTTTTCACCAATACCATGTGTATAACCCTGAAGCCATTTGTAAAAACTTAGCTGTCAAATACAGAACATCATAAAATTTAGTTATTATCATCTTTGCAAATTTAGAAGCAAATAACATCTAAATTCCTCACAAATTAGGGCATTGCTCTTAAGTAGAGGTAGTGTTTTTATTTAAGATTTATTTATTTATTCATACAGAACTGGAGTACGGGCCAGAGGCTTAGGGGCGGCGAGAGGCTTCACCAGAGACAGAGTGGGGAGCAGAACAGGCAGATCGATGAAGTACACTGCTGAGGGGAGCAGCGGGCGGTTCAGGAGAGGTCTGCCATACCATGTGGGTCACCTCCAGGGGATTGACCTCGTACTGAGGTGGCTTTAGCTTCTTAGTGCTGTGCTTTAACCTGCTGCACCACTAAGGAGGGCCTGGTAGTATTTCTTTTTATAAGAATGAAATGACAGTCAGCAAGAAAGAGAATTCCTAGAAGAACAATATACTCTCTATAGCCAGTCTCATTTTACCTTCCAGAATGCACATCCAGAAGTGAGCTGCTTCTCCTAGCTCACTGGTCTGTGGGGTAAGTTATTTGGAAATTAAAAAGTTCAGGGTGGGGGGACATCAACAAGGCAAGCAGCTCCCTAGCGGAAAGATTTTCCAAAGACTAAGATTCCTTCCAGCCCATCATTTAACCATTCCTCCAGTTGCTTCGGAGGAAATCTTTGAAGGTCAAACAAATAACAAAACCCAAAACCACAGCACTCTCCTGACAGATCCCAGCTTTCCAGCAGAGGTGGACTACGTGAGCAAGGTGAGGGTGGCCAGGGACCTCGGTGGCAATGTCCAGTTCCCCAGTGCTGGGAGTTGTTACACACTAGAAAAATTTTACCACCTCCTGAGGCAGGCTCGGCTCCATCACTTACAGAGCTCAGCATAAAAGAAAATGCAGGGCCCCTTGTTCAGCATGTGTTAAGAATTCCAAAGGCCCAATAGCAGAGCATAAACGCAAGGTCAGGGTCTCTCTGAGCGCAAGGCCCTGTATCCCCCCACGCAGAGTCAACCCATGACAGCAACCACACCCTGAACATCAGCCCCAAATTTTTTGCCTTCAGCAGCACCAATGCGGTCACCATCGGGGGCAGACTGGGACCCTGTCTGTCATTGTCACACAAGCTATCTCCTGAGGCAGGTGGAGGGATTAAACAAAATCTTACATTGTACACATCTGTAATAGGACCTGGCTTACGGTGGGCACTCAGCAAATATTAGCTATTATTAAATGTATTATGGTTGCGACTATCTTTATTATTCTAAAATTTGGTCACAATTTCCTACAGGCAAGAAAAATGGGTGGGAAGAAAATATACCTCTGCTTTCATCTATGAGCTGATGCTGTTTGGATATCATTTCATCAGCCCTATACAAAAAAATGACATAAATTAGCATACCTAGTTGTTTATGTATATTATGGCCACATTTGGGAGTATGTGAGGCCTTTGGGCCCATTCTTAAAAATGCTGTGATGGTGGCGTGATTATGCTGCTAGCCTAAAAAAATGTTTTTGAATTACAAGATAAATTGTATAATATTAGATAGAAAGTTGTTTTGAAATGTAATGATCAAAATACTTTTTAAAATAACTCTAATATAATAATATATTTATTTATTAATACCTTAGATCAATACATATTGATCTAATAATTTTCGTTATATCAAAATAGTGATGATAGCAATATTTTGAGGTATCTGTCACAAATCTGATATGATACAAAAATGTCTATAATTTCTCTTGGCAACATTCATAGTTACAGCTAATGATAATGTGGAGTTTTGTCTACTTTCATCTTGAAAGAAAACAATAAATTTTCTTTAGATTATGAAAATAAAAACAGTATTTTTTTCATATACAAACTCGCAAACCCTTTGAATTCTCTCCTTTGGATCCTAGATTAGGGACAATTGCTGATTTACAGGGACTGCTTTTAACTCTGATAGCTCTAGAAACAACTTCTATGGGACCAGAAGCCTCATTTAAACAACTTACCAAGAGGGGAATCTACAGGGTCTTGGCAAAACAAGTCTAAATGTTTTTCAAAGCCACTAGAAAGTCCAAGATAATACCTTAGCTAGCAGTTGGTGAACAACTAGAGACATGACCAAAAATGTTAAGGGTAGGAATGGTATATGCAGGTGCAATTGGTCACATGACCTGCCAGGAAGGAGACCATATTTTTCTAGAGGCCCCTACATGTTAGACATCAAGAAACAGGACACAAGCATGGTCTGCGCCTGTCCTGGGTCTTCCCCAAAGCCCCCAGGGGTGGTGATTTGCAGCCAACTCAACAAAGCTAAATCTGGAGGGCCAATGTCACCACAGTTCATCCCATCTCCCTGCTGCTCTCCTTCCCCAGTGAATACTCTACTGCATTTCTTTCCAAGGTCACAGCATAGAACTAAGGTCATTCAGTTCTGCAATCCAACAAAGACTCACTGAAAACATTTAGGTGAGGACTTATCATCAATTTCCATTCCACAAATTATAAATAATTTACTCACAAGCATTTATCCAGGTGCTCTCATATTCTTTGTCTAATTTAATCTTTACAACAGCTCTGAGCAATAGATGTTATTAACCCCATTATCCAGATGAGGAAACTTTAGATTCTTGAGCTTACATAGCTCACGCAAAGTCATTAACTGCCCAGTAACTGAGCCAAATTTAAACTCAGGTATTCTGACTTGAAACCCCATGCAAAGCATCACATTCCAGTTACTTCTAGCTAGTAAAACCTCCTGCCCCTTCAGAGGCACAACCAGCTAGAGCTTATTCTTCATCGGTGTTCCTCAACTGGCAGCTGCTGCCATGGGAGTGGACATGGGCAAAGTGTGAGTTAGAAGATGTCTTTGATTTTCCAAATAGACATAATGAGACAGAAACTGAATTTAGGCCAAATCTAAAGGGCTACAAAGACAAAAGACAACACAATAGTCACTGTGAAGTCTTCATGTCTCCTTTACTGCACCTACCAAAACAGAAAATCAGTCCTACTGGGGGAAATTTTTTAAAGTTTCCTAAAAGGGATTCTGGATTAATCTCTATGACACCATCATCTTCTCTAAGCTACATTGTCATCTACTAAAAAACTGAAAGTCCTCTTCATATTTCAGGAGAAAATCAACAAACTCCTAAGAAATTTGCATCAGGCTGAGAAAGGGCTTACATGATGACTGAAATGCCTCACATCCACGATTTGATCAATAAAGGCCCAGGCCCATTTTGTGTCTATGATACAGACTGATGGGGGAGTGATGGAATATGAAATTTTAAGTTCATCCGAATTACAACAATTTCAAAGAGAGTATTTCATTTCACACAAATGTAAATAGTTTTAAAGTTGGGGTGAATGAAGTGGTCTCTTAGCGTAACAATTAAATTTTATAATAGGCATTTTGGCCCCTTTTCATTTTTGGCTGTGTTTCCACCTCAAAGTATGCTTTGAATGCACCTATCCTTGTCATATTTTAACTGTAAAAAAACCCGCCCTAAGAATTAAGATGTTTCTGGAAAAGGAAGGGAAGGAGACTCTGAGGGCCAGGGTGTGGGGAGAGATTGCAAGAGCGATAATGTTAGCCCAATGAACCAGAACAAGGGGCCCTGCCCCATAAAACAAACTGAAAACAGAGTGTGGGTAGGTGCTAGTGAAATCAAGTTTCAAAGGAATATTTTACAGGGTGTCTTTTTTAAAACCAGGCCAATTAAAACCCTGGGAGCCTCTTTAAAATGGGCCACCCTGCTTGACCCTGTTGTGAGCTCCAGTTGCTCCAGATACAGCAGAGTCCCTCTGAGAACATCAAGTGTCAAGCTTGGCCTCCATGGCTGGCCAGCTCCATGGCTGCGTAGGATTACCCCGAGAGTTTTCCTCTCCACATTTATTTAATCTACCCAAGTCCACATTTATTTAATCTACCCAATGATTCATAGGTAATCAAGCAAGTGAGCATTGATCAGTACCACACAGACTGAGTAGACAACATGGGCGCATCAATATTCACTTCCCCACACACCAGCTACTTTTGTGTTTTAGAAATGTCATTAGTGCCATTAAGCCAACTGCTCCTTTCCGTCACAAAACCAGTGGTTGCACCTCTTTCTATGCTCCCACCAACTCTGAACACATGAGGCGAGGCAAAGCGTAACGATGGGCTGTTGTCATAGGAGCAGATTCGCACACCCCTAATAAAGACGCCAGGTCCCATTTTAGCTGCTCCACCAAATGCATCCGTTGGCCAAAATTTCAGAGACCCCAAGGAAGCTACTGACGGAGTCCTACTGATGTTCTTTTCTATCGCATTCTTATAAAGGCTTCTTCCATCTCATTCTCAGCCTCCCAGACTCAAGCTAATCTGCTGACCTCTAGGCACGCTGCCCCCAAACCCTCCTCCATTCTTAGAGTCTGAGAGTTAAAATGGATCTTGAAGATGACCAGATTCAAACTCCTTTGACCAGGTGTCAAAGGGGCATGTTGTCTTGGGGCATTTGCTCTGGACACAGCTACACTGGGCTGGAAAGCCAGGTCACCCAAGTACCTGTACCCTATACACCAAGCACCCAACACACTGCCTTCCCCACACACAAAAGCTTGAGTCAAATTTGGAGATGTCTAAAGAATTATCTTTTTACCTCATCTGAGATCCAATAGAGCTTTCATCAAACAACTCTGAGGGATCCATGGAAATTTCAACTCCTGCACACTTGGCTTCCTAACATCAGTGCCGTTCAGCCCTAACACAGGTCCTGTGGGGAACCATATTGCCACAGCTCTGTCTCCTACCACGTTAATAACCAGCTCTTTAAACGCAGTTCATTCACCATAAATACGATAGCCACGTATTTCTAATAAGAGCACAATTGCTGCTCCTAAGAACAAATCACGTTATTTTAAATCCTATAATTATAAATCAGACTAGAAAACATTAAAGTCTGTTTTCTTCCCTGTCTCTCTATCCAGCAACAGATTTAAGAAAACCCTGACAAGATAGGGCTGCCTTACTGCCTCTGGCTTCAGATGACAATCCCTCTCACAGACTCCGCTTACCCACATGGAAAGCCCGGCGCTCCGTCAGCTGCCCGTGACAATACCAGGGTGAGAACGCGTGGTCTCTAAACACCAAGCCTTCCATGGAGTCAGCGCCTCCCTACCAGGGCCCCACCCACAACAGAAATGATTGTCACTTCAATTCTACCGGAGCGCAGTCCCAACAAGAGAAATGGGCTGCAACGGTAACAAATAAATGCCACTGAAAATCAGGTTCCAACTTTAGATCTGCTTCCTTGAAACTGGCATTGGTTCTCCAGTAAGTTAGCAGATCTGATCATGACATTCCTGGTATCCATGCCACCCCATCTCCCAGAGGTCTCTGAAAATCACATCTGCTGAAAAGGACTGAGCGCTGACTGCATCTGGAGGAAAGGCAAAAGACGGAATCACTTGTTCACGATGTGTCCAAACCTCTGTGTCTGTGCTTAATGCTTGAACCTTAAACAGGGTCCTTATATCCAGATTGTAGAGAAGCAAGATGCTCTAAGTCACACAGCCCCTACTAAAACTCCCCAGGCATGAAGAGGAAATAAAACACCACAAGCTACAATTGTACTTCCTAGCAATGAACTTTGGTCAAGCACACTCACATTCTGACCTGAGACCTGATATGGGTTCCTTCCAGTTTTCAGTTGGCTGATTGAATGCAGTTGAGTAAATATTTTAACCTCTCAGTTTCCATTTTGTCTCATGTCTCAGTCTGTCGAGACATCAAAAAGATATTGAAAGAGGACCTGGGGGAAGTGGGAAATTAAGAGGGGCAGAAACCTGGAATTATGTATGATTATAGGGCTTCTGAGAGGTCTGGAAGGCCCAAGACATTTTCACCATGGGGATCTCACAATCCAGTCAAAAATGGAAATAATATGCAAAAGGGGACTGTTTGAAATTAAAAAAAAAAAAAAGCTGATGTTTTCTAACACAGAACAAATATAATTGAATTGGAAGTCTTGTATACTTGTGAAACCTGTGATAAGTTCAGCAACTTTATCTACAGCCCCCTTAAAAGGGCCAGACTGACACTGCTGTCTTGAAGAGCAGCACAAGAGAACTAACAGCACACTATTCCCTGAAAGTTACGTTATCTTAAAATGCCTCTGTAAAATAACTTGGAAAGACAGATAATCTCCATGATAGTATTTTTTTAAATGTTAACTACAGACTCCCAAAGACCTTCATGGTATGCCCATTGTTCTTTAAAATTTCTCCACACGAGCCAGAAGTGGTTATTGTGGAAATATATGAGCCTGCAAGACTTCAGATTATAAAATGAAATGAATGAATTATTTTATCATTCCAGAATCCTACATCTCAGAAAAAGGATAAGTTGAGTCTCCACAGACTCCAAATGCAGCAATGAAAATCACTCAGACTATCATAGAGTCTTTTCTGCTAGTATTAGTCGCTCACCTGGGACATTCCTCCTAAAACTGACTTGATCTCCCCCATTGGAAACTGACTCTTCCTTTGACATCAGTAGAATAAACACACAGGCACTCAAGATCCCCAGCTCCCCCTTAACCCTTGCAGGTTCTCCAATACAGGCTCATAACCTACCTGCACAGCCAACTCCTCAACTAGACACTTCAGCAGCAGGTGCTGGGAATCTACACTCCCTCACTTTCTCCCTGTTACTAAGGTCAGTGCAGATAACCAGCAGAAACACCTGTAAACTTAGACTCCCAGAAACAATGCTTCCCTTAAAAAGACACAGTTTCCCATAGTCCTGGAAGTAGCTAAATCTTGGCAAAGAAGGATGGCGAAAGTGTCATTTTCCAGCTCGTTGTTGTTCACCAGTAAGATGATTACTTCCCCTCTGTCCCCAGTTCTGTCCACACTGAGGCCAACACTCCTCCACAGTGTCCAAACAGATTCAAAAGAACCCCTGTGTAACACAGCATGTGTGCCGGTGACTCACGTCTGCCTGTCTGGTCATAGTATCTCATTATGGAACAAACAAAGGGTTAGTTTGTCCCCTTGCGATATGGTAGAAATCTTTACCAGATTGTCTTTTGCTTTCTTTAGTTCTGGTCAGAGCCACTCTTAGGTGTGCGGTTCCCCCCAGTGACGTGTCTGCCTGAGCTGCCTGGCCACTTCTTCCAGAGCGGGTTCAGATGCCCTTCCTGTTACCAGCCATTTTCCAACTCTGGGACACAGTAAAGATGAATCTGTCTTTCCCTACAACTAGTGACTCAGAAAACCTACTAACAGAAAACATCTCTAGAAAGTGAGAACATGTGCCCTGAGCCCCAACAGGTACTTAGCCAACCAGTTCGTCCCTGAGTTGAAGCAGGGTCACCGGGCTCTAGCTGCCTATTTGTTTCACAACAATTTAACCCAGGAGAAAGGCTCTGTCTCAGAAACAGAGAAAAACGAGGGAGCTTTATGTCCATAATGATTGACAGTCGGGAATCAAGGCAAGAAATTGACAGATAACATCCAAAGTAGCCCAGCTCCCTCCAAAAACGAATTCAAATTAGACCAAGTAAGGTAAAGACAGGTGAGGCGAATCCACTTCCTGGCAGCCACCTCTGAAAGCCAGTTTTATTTTCCTCTGTCTGATTCAAGGCAGGTTTCTCTTTCCACTCAGGTGCTTGAATTCCAGATTCAAAAGAAGGTTTAAAAATAAGGACTTACCTCATTTACCTAAAGATTCTGGGTGGGAAATCCAATAGCTGTGGCTAATGGAGGCAAGACAGCAGGCAGCCCTCACGCCAGCTCCTACAGAGAAGGGGAAACAGGGGTGTTATCACGTCTGAGCCCTCACCAGTGTGAAGATAAATGCATATGACAATAATTTTAAATCATTTTGTATGATGTGAAGCAATAAGCCACCAACCGGGAATTCCCTAAGTCACTTCCCCCTCTTCCGATTGGCTGCTGGGCTCTTTAAAAAAATAAAATAAGGGATTACAAACATTGGCTCATTTGCATTTGGCCAACTCACACTGTTAGTGTTCAAACAAAACAGGTCTAACCAGGTTATGGCTGTGTCTCAAGAACAGAGAGACAACCTGTTAATGGATGAGGAATTGATTTGGTTGTGACTGTTGTTTTGAGCTTAGAGGCTGATATAAGGGGGTGTGGGGGGACACCAGTCTCGCTCCCCTAAGAGGCTATCAGGAAAGGAGAATGTAAAAAGCAAAGTGAGCAGAAGGTCAGTGCTGAAGAGAGGATGGCAGAGGGAAGTGGGGTCCTTTTAAACCACTCTACTCCATGCCCTCTGCTTTGACATCAAGCTCCGTGCCCAAGCGCTGGGAGCACCAGCTCTCACTGGGCTCCCCGGAAGGGTAGCCTGGAGCACAGGCTCTCTCTCCCAGTACCTCCATTGCCTTTTAAAAGAGACCCTTGGCAATCTCAGTGGACTTTGAAAAGCCAATCTTCCCTGACCCCAGGTAAGAGCCTTGGGAGAAAGTTTGAAGGGAGGGACTGCACATTCCAAATTGTTTGGGTTGGTCAACTCTACCATGCAAGGGCTCACTGCCTGATTGGTGGACTATCTGGGGCTCTCTACTTCCTCTTGACTGGCCTTTTTTACTAGTTACCAGCACTTCTTATAGGAGTTAGAAAGGGAAAGACCAAGATGCTGAAGCAGAAGGCAAAACAACAATTTTTGGACAGGTTGGTAGACTTCTGGGAAGGATCTATGGCTTCCTTCTTTTCTTCCGCTCCCTCCCCCTTTCTCTACCCCACACCCCCGTTCTTCTTCCTTCATTCTCTCTTCTTTCTCCCTTCCTTTCATTTTTGTAGTGGCTGTTGTTCATTTTGGATCTATGGGTTTTTAACGCTCATGCAATTCTTGTCTACCTGAGCCAAAGGTCTGCCACCCCAAGTCACAGAAGCACTTCTACCCCGTGTATAGGTGAGTGACCACTTTTGGTAAGGAAAAATATTCTACCCTAATGATTGACCTTCTCCCTGGGTCTTCCTGGACTCAGTTCGGCACAAGCTAAGTGCCCAAACAGATTTTATTTTTAACTTACCAGGCCTCCTCCCTTCTGTGGGAGAGGAAATGGAGTTTGAGTTTTGGCAAAAGACAAAGATTTTGTGATCAAAACCAGGAAGTTCCTGGTATAAAAAAGAGAAAAGCTGAATAGGACAAGAAGGAAGAGGCGTCCGTGTCAAGGCGAATGTGTGAGCAGCAGCAACATTCCCTTCTGGCTGGTTCCCCTCACCTTGCCCACACCCCCTCCGCTACAATGTAAATGCAGAGATTTCTAAAGTCATGGAAGACTTGGTGGGAGAGCTGGGCTAGATTTGGACAATCTTGGGACTAAGGCAGGTCTTCAAGAAGGCTTTAGGTAGTTTAGGGAATGCAATTTAGAGAGATTCTTAAAAAAACCCTCTTCCTCACCCTAATTTTCATTAATCCCAGCCTCCAACCTCATATATTTGCCAAGGGCCCTGTTAAAATGTAAATGTCTGATAAAAATAGTAGATGTCATTATTGCCCATTATCACATTAGCCCCAATTAGTCTATCAGCTGCAGATCTGAGAGCAGGGCCCTGAGGGAACAGATTGGTGAAGTTTTGCTTGAGAGATGAATCAGGTACAATCTGAAGTAGCATCTCCACCTACCACATAGCACGTGCGAGTCTGTGTGTGTGTGTGTGTTTTGTGTGTGACTGTGTGTAGGGGTGTGTATTTTAGTACCAGTGGGACGTCAAGAAACGAAGTTGGTATTCTTTACTGTTCATGCCTGAGAATAACCTGAAACAGTGGGGAGGGGTCTAGGAGGAGGTAGCTGTGTGATGAAGAGGTGGCGAATGTCACAAGCAGCTCCAGAAATGAGGTGCCCCTCTGTCCAGTCATTACCACCTTTTCACTAGAGGTCTTCATTTTTAGATGAAGAATGCATCTCCATTGCTTTATCTGTTATCCTGCCTGTCTTAGGTCAGAGGCCTGCTCTATGCAGACACTCTTGAGAAGAGTCACTCTGGGATGGTGGTGGAGAAAGGGGATGGAAAGACAGCTCATATTCACAGCCACTTTATTTGTGGAGTGTTATGTGCAGGGTACCTAACAATGTAATGAGTTCTTATTAAGTATTGGTTCTCTTCTTTACTTGTGATTTAGTTGAGTCTGTGAAAAAAAAAAGTGCATCCCCACCCCCAAGAAAATGTTAGATTTTTAGGTGTGTCCAATCCATAAAGAAATTCCTGCATCATATGAGGTCTTTTATCCTATGGTCAACTTCACTAAATGAGCATTTGCATCAAACTAGAAATAAAATGGATAGAGATAGAAAAGAAACAGACAGACAGACAGATAGATAGATAGATAGATAGATAGATAGATAGATAGATAGATAGATAGATAGATAGATAATAGGTAGGTAATAGACAGACAGAGAGAAAGATAGGTAGGTTGGTAGATAGATATAGATTGATAATCTGTAGGTAGTAGATAGACAGACCAACAGACAGATAGAAAGATAGGTAGATGACAGAGCAATATAGAGAAATGAAATGGATGAGAGTCTTTATTTTTCAGAGAATGCTGAAACTTGGACTTAATGCTGAGACTTTCTGCTACAAGAGTATCACATATATCAAGCTTACCTCTTCCATCTCATGGATAAGAACACACAGGTATAACCACAAAAATATCAAACACACCATAGTAATTACCTTGCTGTTTTGGAGGTTTTGTTTCTTCTTCATTTCTTTTTGTGCGTGTGTGTGTGTGTGTGTGGATAGGGGAATTATAAGATAGAAAGCTGCTTGCTCCAGGTCAAGATCAAGATAATATTAGGACCTGGAGTCACATCTACAAATCCAGTTACTCTGCATAGATTTTCCACATCTCACCTACAGGTCAAAGCCCTTTGCAGCCAGATTCTGCACAGGGGGCACTGAGTAGCGTCCATTCACAAGGAAAAGGGACAGAGAAGCCAGAGCAGGTCATGTGTAGGGATTCAGGGACCCAAGTTCAGTGAGACTCTCTTCTAGAAGATTCACATCACAGAACCAAGAAACCCCAGTGATCCTAATTCCCAAATCAAGGCCAAAACAAAGAATCTCTCTAAGCCAAGTATCAAGCCCTAAGGTGTCTGAGTCTTAAAGCCAACACAGGCTGTGGTTACAAGGTTAATGAGAGTTATGTGCTTGTTTTGCAAGAAGGAGGATGCTTGCTTACTTAGCACAGTACCTTTTAACCAGAGGCCCTGTATTTATTTTTGCAAGCAAGTGTGTGTTTATATATGTTTCTGTCTATCATCCCCTCCTAACGACATAGAGTTCCTCCAGGGCAGATTGCGACAGCTATTTAGTGAGGCCCACTTGGAATATTCCTGAAGGGCTGATGGGTGTGAGAATGCTGCTGATGTTAAAGGAAGGAGGTGGTAAGAGCCACATTGCCAAAATCTCTAGAATTGGGATTAGCTCAGGGATGAGTCGCCACAATCTGTGAAGAGAAAGTTCATGAGCTCTAAAGTGGCACCTGAAGTCTGATTGGAAGGTTGGACATTACCCCCTGTCCTACACCTTTGTGTGGCATTGTGTCTTTGCCACCATATCTGTGCCTACCAGCAGAGAAAATCACCCACTAATGTCATGTACCTGTGAGCCACAGAGGTAGGGGACAAACTTGGTGTTGGATGCGAGAAATTGTTCATTGCCTATACCCACCCAGGTACACACACACACACACGCTCACACATGCACACAAGTATGCACCCCACCCCCACCCACCACCCCCAGGAATCTGAGTATGTCACCAATCTTACCTATGCATCAAACATGAATTTTCTGGAATTCCTCAAA